CCTTCGCCTGCGATCAGGTCGAATTTTGAGCCCTGGCTCCAGGGCTATTCTATTCCACTTGTTCTCTTTCTTCGTTCTTCTTGATTAGTGGACGTTCATATGATCAACTCCCAATAATTCCTTCCACCCGTACACGAAAGCTTCGTAGTACCGGTAGTTATCCTTTCTTACTAGCTGAGGGAAATCGTCCTTCGTGATGATATAGTTCGGTTTCCCTCATTAGTTTGGTCCTTATTGTCCCAAAAGTAGTGAAAACATTCTTCTCTTTAGTGGACTTCAATATGCTTAAATGTTTGCCCCTAAGCTTTATTTAAAGTGACTATTGCCAATATTTAAGGGAAGGGCTGATGTCACGAGGGATATTTAGATGTAAATATCCTATTATTTTCAAGTAATACATTAAATTTAAACATCCTTAAATTATTCAACCAAACAGAAGCCTTGTAAATTATACTTATACTTATTGTAATTGTGTAATATATGACATTCTTTTTATAATGACAATTAGTAATAAGTAGTAATAAGTTATATAATCAACAATAGAAATTAGTGATGGTTTACGAGTATATTATGTTTTAATTAATGTTCAGGAAAAACACTGATCCTGCCTTAAGGATGGTTTAGATTTACAATATCCCTCCCTGAAACTCCATCTTGCCTTAGAGCCGGAGTCGCCTCGAAGTAAACGTCAACACGAGTAGGCTCACTGAAATATCGACCGGTATAAATAGAACTAGAGCAACGAACGTCCGCGTTGGCCTTGCCTCAGCCTTACCCTTGTCTTCATTCACTTCAGTCTTCAGTCCTAGGGAACTGTTGTAAGTTCTGTAAAGTTTATTAAAAAAAAAAAAAAAACAGATCGAGTTAACTTCAACTTTACCAAAATGCGTTATATTTGAAATTAAAGTTTAAAAAAAACGATCACACAGCTGAGTGCCCTAGCGTGCTAACGCGTGTGCAAAATACGGTACCTGATAAACCGAAGATTACCGGTTAGAATCTCGGGATTAATCCTCCGCTCTCACTCCTGGGGTAGGGAAAACCGCGTATGGCAGAAAAGGAGAGAAAGTGAAGAAAAAAAAGTTTAAAAACTCTTTTGATTTTATTTCCTCTAATCGACCACCATTTTGAAATAACATTGCGAAGAGTAATACCGAGTTCTTCGTTTCAGTCTGAGGTTACTTACGATTTTATTACCAATTTTTAAAAAAATATATGATTTTGATTGATGAAAACAATTCATATAATAGATTATAAGTATGATATAATCGTAGGTAAATATTGAAAAAAAAAATGAGGAACTATTGAAAACATAATATGTTATAACATTTATTTACTAAAACACATACATACACAGTAAGTTCACTAAAATGATACAAACCCTTTTATAGATCAAAAATACTTATAAGCGCACAATTTTCTAATTTTGTAAAGGAAAAATTCATTATAATTTTTAGTAATTTAAGATTATAAAATGCCAGTTATAAATTATATTTAGTAGTGTTAAAGTATTTAAAAAAAAAAAAAAAAAAAACCTGATACAGTATATTGAACCACCTCTTGGAGTAAAGTACTCTTTAAAGAAATCCGTGGATGACGGACTGAAGGATTTTTTTTTTATTTGTATCGTCTATCTCAATGCCATAAATTATAAGGGATATTCAAATTTTATTTTTCTTGGTCGATTATTGAGGTGCTCATTCACGATTATTTAATTCCTAAGAAATTTGATTGTACTCCTGTTCTTAAAAACGATGCAAATGAAAGTAGAATTATAAAAATTGTAGTTTAGATACAATTACACTTTAATATGTTATCCTCCAAAAATTTATAATCTGTAAAAATGTAAAATTCTTAAATTCGGAAAAATGTTCCTCCTTAAAATTTGTTATGGGGCAATTTGTTCAGTCTATTATTAAGTATTTATTTAGTTTCCTGTAAACAAAAAAAATTAATCCACATAAACCAAAGGAACTTAGTTCATGGAATCAGAATATCGGAACTCATTTCAAGTAGCAGTATTATTAATTTATCTATGTCTCTGTATTTAAAGAAAGGGTTGTCCAAACCTTATGCGATTCACAATCAGGTTTTAATATTATTAGCTATGTAATGGAGAATAGCTAAGCCAAATCACCTGGCAGGGGTCTATCGAGAAGTGCATCGTTGGCAGGTATCCCGATCAAATATAAACAACTCGGATCGCCAGACTATTTTATTTTGATTTGGAAAAGTAAATCAGCAGAAATATTTTACGAAATAAACTTCTTGTATGATTTTTCAAAAAAATATCTTTCTTTTTCCTGCTTACGCTATTTCGTAGAGAAGACAAATTAATTTACAAGTTCGATTATTATAATAATATTCGTCTCTAAGAATGGTCATTCCTCCACTAAAAAGAAAATTCGTTTTATATTTTTTATCTGTACAGAAATATTTGAAAAATTCCTATTCGTTTACAATATCTTTTGTAGCCTCAAAATAACTCTTGTTTTGACTGATGTTTTCTCTCGTAAGCTTTTTTTTTTTTTTATGAAGTAGCCCAGGAATCTTTTGGCTAGTGCTTATATACCCCACTGGATCCAGGATTTAATTTTGAGGGCTTCAGCCTGAATGTTTTTTTGTTTTAGCATGTTTATAACGATAATTACTTGGGAAGAAAGAAGAAAGGAACTTACTATATGAAATAGTGTTTAAGTTATTTTTGAAATTCTTACAAAAATGTAATCACAAGAACAATAATACATATAGAGATGTTTTTTTGTTTTTTTTTTCATAAAACATGGTTATATTTAGTAGCTGTTTATGGATTATAATTTTTAAAAATATAACATATTGTTATTGTTTAAGTATCTAGCATAGACCACTCACTGTAACTGATATTGACCAATGAAAGGAAAACAATTTTTCTATTTTAGGAGTAGGCTTCAGCCTGTGGTTATATGAGACCAAAGCGTTAACTGTTATTTTTTAAAGATTTAATTCGGTTTGAACAAAAAAAAATATGCCCATTTGTGAAGTTCGTTTTGAATTTTGATTTAAGACAACAATTGAGTAATATCCACAACCTAATAAAAAAAGAGCTATCTATCTTTTTTTTGGGAGGCTTGACAACGTATAAATCTTTTAAAATGAACTAGCAATAAATAAATACAAGCAACAACTATTCAGAAATGAGTTAGGCAATATATTAATAAAAATCGATTTATAGCGACTGGTTAGTTTTTATTACTCCAACGTTCTGAAAGAAACTGGTTACGAAATAAAGTCAAATCCCCCCACTCCTAAATTAATTCCTCTTCCCATTTTAAATTATTCCCTTTCCTTCTGTCTGTGCTCTTGCGGTCATCTCTGCATTTATTTAACTTTTAATTTTTAAAGGAGTAAGATTTATTTTTTAACTCCTTGGCATCCTTGCATATGTTAATAGTTAATAACATTTAAGCATTCTATTCTGTTTCTTAACCCTTTCGCTTTACCGTATCTCGCCCTACGAATGTTTGGAATACTAAGAAGGAAAGAATGATGGAGTTGGACATCCTTAGAACCCATCTCCATGTTACGATTGGTCCTAGGTTACGTAACGATCGTTTCCACAAAGATGCTCAAGAGAGCAGGGTGAGGTCATTTGCCTATCGTATCAACGATTTAAACGAATTACGTTCTTATTTTTTTAAGTAAAAACGTTTTTTAAGGAGAGCGAATTAGATTGATCCGTCAGGTGTGAGATGTGTAACGCTCGGATATGAGTCGGCTGGAGTCGACTTATTGAAGTGTTTTTTGCATATGGATTAAAATATCTGAAAAACTAAAAATCTGACCTGCACACTATTAGTGAGGGAAATGTCCATCATTTCATCTTGTTTGTAATGAGCTATTATTCAAAATTTAATATCTTAACGCGACGTCGTCCTATTAGAGAGGTGAAAAGGGAAAAATAGTGTTCAAATCCAAATGATAACGAGTTTCATTGAAGATATGGATTAAAATATTTCAGAAACTAAAATTCGAACCTGCATATTGTTCGTGAGGGGATTCTTCGGCATTTTATCCTCTCTGTAATGGCCTATTATTTATAATTTATATTTCATATTATTAGTCTGGTCTTGTTGATGTTTTCACTTCTATCGGGTGGTCTAAAGCACGCCTTAGTTTATTTTGTTTTTTACAATGATTGAACTTAAATATTATTTGTTAATTCTAAGAAGAATATGATTTGATAAATTAGTCGAATTAATGTTTCCGTTTTTGAAACGAATTTTCACAATTGTCTTGTTTTTTAATCAAACATGGTTGTAGACATATAAGCAGAGTTTCCATTCTGGTTGGGGAAAAGGTAAACACTCCCCAAAAAAAAAAAAAAAAAATCTCGGGAGTTTATATTATGTTTACAAATTATGAGTGATCGTTAGCATAGTAACATAATTATTGTAAAACAAATAATATAACACTATATATAAAAATATAGGTTGATATATTAGTTTTTTTTTACTTACGAATACATTTGGAAGTATATTATCAAAGAGTTTGAAGTAGTTACATAACTTTATTTTATTTAAAAGTTTGAGACAGAGAGAAAAACGTTCCATCGAAACTGTTAAAGTGGTACTTTTTGGATCCCTTATATTCACGTAGTAATTAAGCGGTTTGGATCTCATTTCTGTTAAAAGACATTTTTCGATAAAACTATCGACAGCTTTACATCATTCTCCATTTTTTTTTGTTTTTTGTTCTTCCCTTCCTCGCCTTTTAGACTATACGAGGTTTTCCTGGTCCAGGGAATGTGGCCGGGGAATAAATGCCAAGTTAAAAGACCCACTTGGCACCGGGACTCGAACCTGCAATTATTTTATCGCTTATAACTTCGGTTATCAGGTAGCCGGGCAACGCGCGGTGCTGTGCTCACACGCGTCATCCCGCTTGGCCACTCCGCCCCTCATTATCCTCTATCTATAACATTAAGTATGGCTTACTAAAATCATTCTATCTCTTGGTTACAGCTTTGATCTTCGACCTCTTCGGGAGCTGGGAGCTTTCCTTCTACCTCGCTGGTGCCTGGATCATCATCGCTGGATTGCTCATGTTCCCGGTACCAGTGACCAGGAACAGGAAGCTGGTCGGGAAGGGCGAGCCGATGGGAGGCCACGTAGTCTCAGCTTGAATGCACCTCTCGTCTTAGTGCTGAGAGGCTGCTTCTTCTGTCTGCTTCCACAAAGTCATACGTTTTGAAGTATTTTAGAAACTTTCTCTTCTTTATAGATAATGTTATTAAAATTATATAGCTTTCTCTTATAGTAATTTATTTTAAATTTTAATACCTATTTTGGAACATTGTATCTTTGAATGTTAAACTCAGACTGACACTTGATGACATTTACAAAATTGTATATCTAAAGCTTTCATATTTTTCTTCTAATTAATTGTTTAATTTTTCTAGAAGATAAATTAACTCTTCACATTTAGTCCGACAAAGTTTCGGACATCTATTTTCAAACAACTTTCATACTTGTCCAATTTCTTATCTTATGATCAAGGACTCTGTTCTTCTTATTAAAATTCATTATGTGATTGTTCTATTTTTCACCTTCAGAAATGTGTATTTGACATTTTTAACTGGAAGGTTCCAATATAAATCAATACATTAGTAAAAATTAAACAGCGAATAATCTGAGAAACTAATTGAAAAAAAAATAATTATTTGATTTTGAAGAATATTCTTCTTACATATATTTTCCAGAATATCTATGGTTTTATAATAATATACAAAATTCTCAAATCTGAAATTTGTATCTGTTACATGAAAAAATTTTCAATGTATAATTACTTATTGAATTATTCATACCAATTATTTAATTAAAAGATGTTTTAAGTTGGTAGGTATATAGTTATATACCTAAATTTATTTTATCATATACTGTTAAAGTATCATCGAATCATTAAAAATAAAACAATTTTATTTGTAATTTATTTTAAAAATTAATATTATATGTACGCAATGTACATATATCGATTGCTTAGAAATGTGTCTTATCTATAAAACGAACCGCCCAAGTTTGTGGTTATTTTTTATGGCTTTTAAAATGTATTACAAAATATAATTATGTTTTTCTATAGTTACAATTTATCACTGTAAGATTAATTTTTTTTTTACTTCTTGTTTTACAAAATTTATTTCGCTAAAATTAAATATAGTAGATTATTGTATTGGTTTAATTAAAAATATATTCGTTAGATTTTGATACCAAACCAACGGAACATTTCATATAAAATGTTTTATTAAATTTTTTGCTATTAACAATAAAATGATTTTTTAAAACTCTTAAGTAATGAATATGAAACATTAATTAAATTATATTTTGTATCCCAATTTAAGTTTTTTTATTATTTTGGTTGATGATATCGGTAATATGACGTGAGAGAATAAAAATTAGGATAAGGGAGTAGGGCGTTGTTAGCACGCAATATTGCCTTTGATTTTTTTGTCCCTGGAATGGAAGTGGTTAAGTCCACACATATATGTATATTATACAAAATTATTTTTAATTGACCTTTAAATATTATATTGTGAAATAATAATTTTTTGAGTATTGGGTTTTTTAAATTAAAATTTAATAAACTATATTAATTTTGGAGTTTATTATCTTTATCTGATGACGTTTCGATCCCTTGTGTTCTTATATACAAAATGGGATACTCATCAGAACTGGAAAAACAAATATCCATTATTGGCACACAAATTATAAGTTTCTATATGACTGAACCAATAATTACTTATTGATCTTATTAAATATATATTGTGAATTGGATAATGTCGATGTACTGTAAATAGGGCGAATTAAAAAAAAAAAAATGATATTTTAACATTTTTAAATTCATGCCCAATCTAACAATGACGGAGAAAAAACACGTTAAACGAAATGTTTTGTAAAATATGCTCTTCTGAAAAGTAATAAATTGTTTGATTCGCCATTTTTGCAGGACATTGAAAATACGTTTCATAATAATTGAATTTTTTTTTTTGGAATTTATATTTCTTAGGACAGTTTTGATGTAAAGAAAAAAAAATATATTTTTCTGATTTCTTTGTTAAAACTTTATTATTTATTTATTTCTGCTGATTTATTAACTGTAGCTCAAGTAAAGCATTTACGAAATAATTTTTTTACCTACGCTAAAACCTGCAATTTTTTGCTTAGATTGTTTTTATTTAAATCAAATTTGTATTTATTTTTCCATAAACATTTTATTGTTCATTTTCTCGCATAATAATTACCAAAACGTGATTTTGTTATATTTAGTATGACTTTGCAGCTGTGCACTTCTACAGTATTCATGCATTTACTCGTAAGTGCAAACTAATGCTTTATCTTAAAAAATCCTCACAAATTTAGGAGCAAAATTAATTCTAAATTTATTTAATATGTAACTTACTTTAATAAATAGACCATACTGATTTTTGCTGTCCGTTTTAAATCGTTGCGTTCTCCTTAATCATGGAAATTTTAATTAAAGCATATCGATCTCGTTAGTAACAAATTCACTATCTTAAGCTTTGAGGAAACTGTTAAAATTAATTAATCTTTAGGCTGAGGAATTATTATTATTATTCTTTTATTAAAATCAAATGAAATACATTTATCTTAGGCTGAAATTAAATAAATAAAACTCGAATCTTCAAATATACTTCTTTCAATGCTTGCGGAACATAGCACTTTAATTAATTCTTCTAAGTATTTAATAAAAAAAAAATAATGGCTTTCAAAAAGTGCCTTTGATATATACATAGATAAAATATAATAAAACGCTCAATTTACTATTATTTCTATTAATTTATAAATTTAAATTGTCTATTTATAATTCTAACTGCATTATGCCAGTTCGAAATCAATTTGCCTTTTTATCGCCTTTTTAATCAATTAATAACAGCGGTATTTTCAGACTATAATAATTAGCTCACATTTCGAATAATGTTTTAAAATTATATAAAGTTTAATACATGTAGGATAGAAATTATTTACTTACTTATTTTCGGCCTATAAACAAAGACATTAATGTAGAATAAGCACATGTTACTAGTTCCATTTTAAACGGAATGTTTTATTAAAGTATTTTTGGATACATATATTAAATAATTTTGAAGTATTCTCTTTCTGCATGTTAATTATCTGACATAATGTAATTTATTGTACTTAAAGTCTACATATATTTAATTATTAAATTTATCGTAAACTTAAAGCACCATTATCGCTCAAATTCGAATCGAGGTAAGAATTTAAAATAATTTTCAATTGAATATTTAATATAATATTTTACTTGCTAATATATCACCGTCCATTTTTATTTTTTTTTTTTTAAATTCAAAACACGCATATAAAATTATTTTAATTGAAAACATGGCGGAAATTATATTAAAAATGAGAACAAAATAATTTAAGGATGAAGTATATAAAAGTGTAAAGTAATATATTTTTCCTTTCATTTAGGTTAATTTTTATATTTGGTTCATAACCAAAATGAATAAGTATGATGCAATTTACTTTTCTTAGAACTCAAAAAATGTTATTTATAACCTTCATACACTTCACCCTTTAATTATCGATTGAATATTTATCGAATATCTCACTATATTTATTTGTATGAACGAAAGTGAACGTCTTTAGTTGAAGGTTATTGATTATGTTCGTCTGAAGTTAAAACCCACGACAATCTATACATTTAACACGAATTCTACATCGTCTTAAAAAAGACATATCATCTTTGTTAGTATAGCAATAAATTAAAAACTGATTTAAAACAATAGTAACTTTTAAATATAAAATTAATTTAAAGTAGAGCAATTTTTAGTATCAAAAAGTGACATTAATACTTAAATGAGATCTAGATATCATCCTTCTTCTTATATTAGATAAATTAAAATATGTCTACAAGCTTTAGTAAATTTGTTTTGATCAAACGTTTAAAAAAAATTAGTAAGTAGACATAAAATATTGAAATATAATAAATAATTTATTATTTTTTCATTATATAATGAAAGCTAGATCTTAATATTATGATAATATATGAATGTATGAAACATTTTGACAATTTCTTGACTTGATTGCAATTTATTTAAATAAAGTTAGCCATATTTCTTAGTTACAATATTAGTAATAATTTCAGTATGGTGCTTGTTAAATGGATTTTATTTATAATAGACAAATTTATTATTAAGTATTTATTTAACTTTATCTTAACTCTTATGAGTAGTTAGTTATAAAAATAGTGGTTCTGTTATTTTCGTTTTCCGTAGTACATACATTCGTTGAAGTTTCAATTGTGTTTGAAGAAAAAAAGTATTAGCTTAGTTTTTTGCCAAAATATTTTTTAAAAATGCTGTAAATCCAAAGATACCCTTTACTTACTTAAATCTTACTTATGTAATGAAATTTTAGTACTTATAATTTGTATTGTGTTTTTTTCTAATTATATTTGCGTTGTAAACAAGTTTTAATGTTCTGTAAAAATTTTGTTTAAAGTGTGATTTGAGGCTGTTATAGTAAATAGTTAATACTTTGCGAGTGTGATTGTCCAATCATTATTCCTTTTAACGAAGTTATGTACAAAGAAATGTTAGCGTTAGGTTATATTTTAGAAGGAAACTTTAAAATGTTTAGTTTCTAAAATTAGTTTATAAGTTAGTTATATTTAGCTGAGCCAGCAGTATTGGATACATTTCATGAATATAACTAGAAGACTGCATTGCTCGGTCATTGAGCAAATTGAATGTTAAAATTACTTAAATAATATTTTGTATATTAAAGGAAATATATTTAGCTTATTTCCAGTTTCTAATTTTTATTCTCTCTACCTCATTTTTTTTTCTTCCTTCCTCTTAATCCCTATATGTACCAATAAAAAATATTATTAAAGATCCACTAATTCAGAACACGATAAAAAAAAATCGACTTATCGAAACTTTTATATCTTATTTATTGGATTTATCGATAGTGAAATTTGATACTTGATACTTATTGAAAATAAATTAACATGTAAACAAAAAATAAATAAAATGTTTACAAGGAAAACTAACCCACTGGTTATTTATTACATAAAATGAGATTATTTTGTGTGTATTATGCAAAACTAGATAAATATTGATTTAATTTTTTTTGTATATAGTGAAATGGTTTATAATGAAAGTGTAAAATCATTTTTTATTGTTTTCAATCATGATTAATTCAATTTTGAAGGATTTTTTTTTCATGAAAGAAAGAAACTAAGTCAATTTTATTATGGCACTAAGTTTACAAAGAATTATGTAATATACAATTATTTTTTTTTTTAATAATTAAAATATAAAATAAGTAAATACAAATTATGAACTACTTGTTAAATATTGAATTAACTACTCCCTTCCAATAGAGAAGAACTTCAAAATAAAATGGCAACAAACTGCTGCATAATTGATTGACTGGAGAAAGTTAATTATTAATTCAACATTTTAAAAAAATAATTACAAAAAATGGCATTACTTTTAAGAAATTACATTTTAAAAATTGCTTCCCCACCGCAAGAGATTTTTTTTCTCAGATGGCTATGTCCTTTTATACTACTAAAAATATTTTATTCATTTTTACCTCAAAAAAGTATTGGCACACCTCAATTTTTATGAAATATGATTAAGATATTTTCCAGAAATAATATTTATATAACAAAGTTATCTTTGAGTATTATATTGTAGAAGCAATGCATGTTC